ACCACGTGCTCCATGTACATCTTCTCGAGACAGACTCAGAGTCTCATTGCAACACAGTGTCTGACTCAGTGTCATGTGCCCACGATGGGGCAGCAAACTCCGTCACAACTCTTACCACCGCTTTTTGCACGACTGATTTTCCCCCGGCGGTCAGAAGAATGCCCACAAAATCCCACAAAGTAGCGTTTTGAGCTGAGCCTTCTTTTCGGGGGAGGAGGTTAACCACCAAACTGTGCCGGACTGGCATACGATGTAACATTCCAGCAAACCACACTTGGTAGGAAGCTGATCCGAGAGATAGCAGGATGCAACTCTAATCACGTAATTAGAGATAGCAGGTTTGCTGGCGATCGACATCCCGACCAAATAACAGCTCCCTCGAGAAGGGGAAAACGGATGAAAACGGAGGACCCTGCAGGACCTTGTGGGACACGGCCCCCCCAAATTCCAGTCAAGGGCAACGAGTTTGACTACGTGGTAACCTCCTTCTCGACATGGCGATATGATCGTGTAGCCTTAAAACACACACACACACACACGAAAGCAAGCAAGCCAGTCAGGAAGCCAGTAAACACACGAACACACAAACAAAGCAAACAAGCAAGCTTAACAAGCCAGCAAACAAAGCACAACACAACAAAGCAGAAAAACGAATCGGCTGAATAAATATGATTCGCCTGCGGCGTGCGGAAGGTCACGTCGGTCCTGAGGCGAGTAGGACTTGCAGCTCGCTGGCTACGGCAAGAAACACAACGAGGAACGTCGTACGGCCCTCCAAGAACTCCGACCGCTCAAATGCCAAACACATTCTTTGCAAAACCTTTAATAACTAGTTGGGAATTGAGCCAAAGGAGTCTTGATTCACGTGTTTTAGAGCACAAGTTCTAGACCTTGCCGGCCACATGACTTTGCACTTCGTATGCTGGACGTTGTGTTCTTCCCCACTTCCCACACCTGTCAACATAAACATCTTACCACACTAGTCGGACTAAGGGCAAGTACTAATACACAGCCAGCGGAACAAAATCGAGGTCTTGGTTGGGACGGGCCTTCACGATTCCGGAGTGGTTTGAGTGCCCCAACTATATAAGGGAAGCCAGGAACTGTGTGAAAGTAAAGGGCGCAACTCACATGGCATTTTCGATGATGTGTCCATGTAAAACACATCTTATATAAGTTGGTCTGGGAGTTATGCTACCTCCGCATGGCCTCTTGCCTGGCTGGAGCCGCTCCGTCTTAGGACAAACACATGTGGACGGGAATCTATGTGGACTGGACATGTTTGAAGCCAACACATCTGTCTCTTGGGGGAGCTTTAATTTGCAAATACCTACAGTAACTTTTTTGGAACAAACATGAACAAACTTATCTATATGTTGCACAAAGGACCCGCGCAAACCAGTCATTTGGGAGGTCCATGTTGGCCTTCCAACGGGATCCGCACTTGAACACGCGCCATCTGAAGCTTCTCTGCGGCCCCAACGTGATGTCCCTCCGCCGCTTCTCCCGATATGGAGGTAGCCATGCCTCACAGGCAACGGAACACAATGAGCAGTGGCACGACCAGCCTATGCAAATGGCTGTGAGTCAAACGGTCAAGGCGTGGCAAATGAACCTTTCTCAGCTTATGGTTTGTGACAATTCAGTCAGTTCTTTTTGGTGCGCACATTGGATTATGCTCCTAGTTTGCGAACGTAACTATATATATATATATTGATTATATACGGAATTGCATGGATATCAAACGGCTGCAGGTTTTCAGCGGGATATATTTTTTTTAAACTTTTTTGGAGGGTTTGAGTCTTCTGATTCTGTTGCTTTAGACAGTTTCTCATTAGGTCTATTGGGCTTTTACGTGCTCTATTGGGTTTTTGAGCTAAGTGATCCCTCTACGTGCTGGTGGCCCATAGCATCCACCTTTGTGGGGTCTTCCACGGTTCATAGCTTCCTTCCTTCCTTCCTTCCTTCCTTCCAGAGCCCTTAAAAGAAAAAAATATCCAACCCCCCCCAAAAAAATATCCCACGGAAATATGCCCTCCATATCAAACACCGGCTTGCAAAGTAAGCCAAAGCCTTGTGAATGTTCAGATGTCATGCTGTTTTGTGGGAGCCTTTTCTGCGTTGCAGTTTGGGCTCGAGGGAGCCCTGGTTTCCAAGCCCGTTTGTGTGTAAATAGTCGATCGCCCAAAAAAACACCAACTCCACAAATCAGCTATATAACCGTTAACCCTGTGGCCCTAGGGCTGATCAATCAAAGAAGACCCCAACTGAGCTGCAAGGGTAGCTCCAGCAAAATCAGCGGCTTTTCCGGTCACAAGAGTCCTCGATCAAAGCAAGCATTGTTGACCCGACGACCTCGATCGTCCTTTGTTTCTTTGTTCTGCCCTCATGGAACCTCAGGAACGATTGTTCCACCACAGATTCCTGATGGAAAAAACTCAAACACCCACAGCTGCAGGAGCCATTCGAAGCGCTTCCCTTCAACCGTGTAAAAACACAAAAAGGAACTGGCATGCAGCTGGACGGGTGCAAAATTTACTCTCCCCCCGGACTAAGTATGCGGAGTTCATCAAGACCTCCATTCAACTCCATGGTTTTGGCAGGCAAGGTCCGGCCAGTAGTGTAAGAAACACGCAACAATTAAAGGCAGTTCTTTTATCGCTGGCTGATAACAAGACTTTCGGACAATGGGAGAGACTTTTGGAAAGGACTTTTGTTGTTTCATCGATGCTTCCTGTGCCCGCAAAGGACTGGAGAAGCGCCTGAGTGCCTGTGGCATCCAGTGTCTTTTTTGGAATCTCTACTCATCCAGTGTCTTAGTTGACACCCATTGTTTGAAAAGACTTAAGCATCTAGTATGCGTCTAATCATCTGATCTAGACGAAAGACTCCAAATATATATATATATATTATATGTACAAATCTTCTCAGCAAATCAAATCCTGGGTCACCTGGTGTAATGATGACCCTTTTGTTGGATTAAGAAGTGCAGCCCCTTTAAAGTGGAAGATGTTGGAAGCATCATTCACCCCGCCTCTTCGGGGCCCCCCATTCAGCGAAGATCCTCAAAACTAGCACCACCCGGAGTTGCGCGGACGTGCCCGGCTTGTGGTCGCGTGTCCGCGCCTGGCCCGTGAGGCTGGGTGGGAAGGTCGGATCATGGCTGATCTGCACCACCTGACCTGTGCACTCAGCACCTCAGCTGTGCACTTGGCTGGGCGGTTTTGCCCGCCGGGTCCGGAGAACACCAAATCCTTCCAGGCAAACGTGGCGAGGGGTGGAGTCGTACCGTATCCAAAAAGTGAAGTTGTAGATGGTACACCTGTCAGCCTGATATTTCCAAGGGACGAAACATTACCACCCGGAGTGCTGGGGGCTTGACCGCCTTCCAGCACCAGCCATCACCTAGCTGTTCACATCTTCCTTCCTTCCTTGATTCCTTCCTTCCTTCCTTCGTTCCTAGATATTCATGGCCTCAGCTGTCCAACTTACATCAACTTACTCACACTGGCAGCGTCTGGTCAGCGTTTGTCTGACTTCGCTTCATCTGACCCTGACTGGTCCTGTCTTCACTCATGGTCATGATCCGAGTGGCCGATGGACTCCGAGGCGGTCCAAATCATCGTGATCTGAGCAAAGAGCAAAGATGGTTTCGACGTTTTCGCGATGACCGAAGGGTCATTGAAACACCTGGACCTACGACCACCTACACGCATACGATCTGATGGGCTGAACTGCGCAACGCTCTCATCTTGAAACCTGCACAGCCTGAAAGCTAAACAATCATCGCACCAAGCCCATGCAAACGTCCTTGAATGATGTGGGATGCAACGGAAACAATATAGTATATATATATATATATACTGGTATTATATATGATTATATAACTTAAAACACGCACACACCGTGGTGCGAGTCTATGTCGCTTCGCAGTGTCTTCATTGGTCGCGCAAGATCATCCTAGCGTTCCTAGCATACTCTTGCCCTGAAACAAAAGCCACACCTGCAAAGAGTACGTGCTGTGAGTTGAGTGAACAAAAACAAGAAGAGCTCAGTACAATGGTTTGGGTTCTGATTCTATGTGTGAAACTCGGTTGATCACCCAGCCAGGTCTTTCCTGCGTAGGGCTTACGTAATCCGTGACGTCTCGCTCCTCGACTCACACGCGGCTAAGCCACTCCGCACCGTCCTAAGAGTCTCCAACACATGTAAAACTGTGGCGAATGAACCAGGACCTTTGCCATAGGGAACCAGGACTCTGTACTATGGCCATTCCAGCTCAAGGCCATTCCAGCTCATATCCAATATGTGACCCCCCCCCCACCAAATGCAATGGTGCGATCTCGGAGCAGATCTCGAGAAAGAGTTGCTGGTACTGGAGGTCCCCAAGCTGCCACTAATCAATTTTCTTTTTGGTGGCTGCCAGTGTTTTTTCATACTATGCAAAACTTACTTTAAACGCAAAACACCGGCCCCCCCTCAGGCAGGGTGGAGGTGGACACCTCCAGTGATGAAACTTCTTCGTCTTCAGATTCAGGTTCTGTCACTGATGAGGGGTCAAAGGATGAGTACTCCCGTGACGAGAACGGTGCATCCGAAGAGTCCCTGGTTGGCTCATTGAGCCCCATCCGAACTGCTGCCAGGTTTTTGTGTCTTGGTTGGGCATCATCATTTTCCACATCACGTTTAACTAATAACATTCCTTTTAGTTGACTGCTTTCAATCCACCGCACCCCTCATCTGCAACTTTTTCCATTCAAGGCGTGGACAGCCAGTCGGGTGCAGCACTACTTCCTGGAGGAGCAAATCAGGCATGTGCATAACTGGGGCTATGACATGGTGGTGAAAGCAGGCAGGAGTGGACAAAAGCTGGTGGTCCAAGCTAAAAGAGTATAACATAGTAAAAATTAGTAAGTTGTTTTTCCACAATGATCATCAGCATTCCCAAACAATCCCCAGGTATGAAAGAATTCTTCGAGGTGATGCACCCCCCACACTTGATGAGTGATTGCAGTGGGGCTGAGGGTGCCTTCTTTGCCTTGAAAGCAATCAACAAACGGGCTACTCTGGTCTCCTCGTGCCTTTGGATAATATAGACTGATTTTCCGTTTGTCCTAATATTTTGTGTCTCCATTTTTGGTACCATGGCAAATTGTTTCAACCATCCCAGGTGTGACTGCGCCGTGGGCCCACTAAAGTTCATCATTCAGAACTGCAAGCCGAAGCGGAGACTCACCTGAATCTGTTTGGTTTTAGTGATATGTTTTTGGTGTTGATTGGTGTTGGTATTTTTTGATATTTTCTGTTTAAGGCTTTCAATAAAACATCTAAAGTAAAGTGTCAAACAATGACACCTTGTTGTTCACCAGGATCTTTGGCAACATGGAGAACAGAAACACCTCGGAGGTTGCTGGACACATCAACACATATTCTTGTGGCTTCCCATGCAAACCGTTTCTTGATGATATTTGGCAATATTGTTTATTGAACAATTTGACTTAACAGTTATTGCTTTGGGCAATTGCATTCTGGCAGTATCCCTAGTCCCTAGCACTCTGCTAGGTTTTCTACGTTGCACCACGGGAGCCAACTCATGAAGGACGCCAACGCTCGCCCCTTCTTCCTGTGCCTCGCTGAGATAGCAAGGAGCAAGCCCAAGGTCGCTCTCCTCGAAAACGTGATGGGGTTGCTGAAGGTATGGTGCCAGGTGGAGGCAGCGTTACTGCGATTGAAGAAGTATGGGTATATCTTTGGGAAGGCAACTTGGCTATGTCCAAATAACTTGTTGCTTCCAATATTTTCTATTTGACCTTATGAAGTTTTCAGTAACTTGTCGGTTTTCAGTCTTTGCTGGTATGTTTAGGTGCGAATAGACCCTATGGAGCTGGGCGATGTTACCAGGCGGCGGCGTATCTACATCGCTGTCATTCACGAGTCCGTCTTGAGGAGGGGCATCAATTCCAACGCCAGGCTTGAAGAGGAACTGAATAAGACCATTGATTCTCTCAAGGTGGTTGGAAAGCCTCCAAACCCGCCCCCCTAGCTCAATTCACATTTGATCCATCAAACTAGATGTAGATTTGGGTCAACACTCAAAACTCAAGCCATTCAAAGATATTCAAAGGCTTATTTTCCTAAAACCTGACTTGCCCCAAGGTTGCGCTTGCTGTTCCCACGCAACCACCCTGTGGTTGTGCAAGACTTGAAGGATAGAATGGAGCGCAAACACAACCAGGAGGATGAGAACATCAATCTGACCGTGAAGCCCCTTGCCACACCAAGTATTTGTTGTCCTTTAAGTTTTCATATGCCATTCCACCCTGAAGCCAACTTTCATTTTGGAATGGCCCAGGCCTCGGAACAAGAAACCAACATGGCCCTCGAAGCACTGGGACGTTATGAAAGACTACAAGGTATCTCGGCCATTCTCAAGACATGTGGCACCTTCATTCGCGAGTATGTAGAAGTATCTTGGACTCAACACACTCGGCACTCAGGTGAATCCCAAGCAAGTGGCAGAGACTTGCAAGGGACAGGAGCTTCAGAAGCTGGTGTCTAACCTGCGGCAACGGCACGCAACTGGTCATTCAATAGTACCACGTTGTTGTTGATGGTATGACCACACTTTTAAGTCAATGACATCATTCATTGGTGCCCACTGTTCTACTCACTGTTAATCCAAGGCACTTGCCATTCTCAAAGCCAGGGGGGTGAAGAGTGGTATCGCAAACTTGTCGCAATCCATCGGGAGACAGGGCTTGACACAACATGTGCCCTGCATGACGCCAAAGGGTGAGTTCTTCGTGGTGGAGGAAGGGCGCTACATAACAGGCTTGGGTTTGTCATGGGTTGTCAAACAGTGTGGTTTGTTGAAAGAGGGCATTTGTTACATTAAAGTTCACTAAAGGCAGTTTTCTCACATGTTCATGGTCCCTGTTCAGATGTTGAAAAACTTCTGTTTCAGAGCTTTCCCATTGGGCGCCTTGACTTGGCACACGTGACCAAGAGAGATGCTTGGTTGTCACAATTATTTGTCTCAATCATTTTCAATCACCCCTGGTTCAATCATGTTTGCTCCACCATTTCTATGGACCTGCTTGATTTCAATCATGTTGGTTCTCGGACTAAGGAGCTGGAAGATCTAGCTGGAAACAGCATGAACGTTCGCGCTGCCGCGGCAGGATGGATCGCCCTTTTTGCATGTGTAGATGTTTGGCGATGGAATGCGGTGGCCACAACCAAAGAGGATAGCCACCCGCTGTTGCCACAAGCCCTTCCCTCTTGACTGCTGCTGGCTGAATAATAGTTTTATTCCTCAAGGTTTTGAATTTGGTTTCAGTCTAAGCTAAACCGCATATTAAATCACCGTCAAGGCGAGCATCTTTGAGCTGAAATGTTTTGAAATGCCATGTCGTTTTGCAATCACCTCCAGCAAACTGGGAGCTGTTTTTGCAATCAACATACACTAGGCAGTGATGTTACAATATTTAAACTTCCGAAGTATGACTTTCATAATAAACACTGAACAGCAAGACTTTCATGTTACTTTTCAGTTTTTCTTCACCCTGACTCCCACCACATGGCCCTGCAACGGTTTCAAGCCTCGAGCAGCGCTAGCAGCAGTGACGCTAGCAGCACTGGTGGCACCAGCAGCTCTGAAGTGGAGGAACCTCCTGCAAAGCGAGCCAAGCCAAGGGAGACACTCATCCGAAGCTTGTGCTGGAACCAACTCCAATCCCTTGAGGTGGATGACCAAAGCGCCTTTGACTGTCATTGCAATCTTTGCATCTTTGGGGCTTTGAGTTTTTCAAGCTGACTCGTTTCCTACTATAAGTATTTGCCCCTTTGTCAATATACACCAGTCAACACAGGTGCTGCTACTACATACCAGACCCATGGCAAATCTGTGGACCGATTGAAGCTGGCAATGCAGAAGAACTGCTGTCAATCTAGGTGCAAGAGGGGAGTCACTATGAAGATTGTGCTGGCTGTTTGCATTAGCTTCTGGTCATTGACAAAGGGCGCCCAGGATAGCCTGCTACTTGTCAAACATTATGTAGTCGTTGATAGATGTTGTGTCATGTTGTGTTTTATTGTTTGGTATTAGTTGTCTCTGTGTTCCCCACAATCAACTTCTACAATCTCAATGCAGTAATTCAGGCTTTGGTCTTTGCAGAATCCTAACTTCATTGCAGAGTCGTCCAGTGATGAGGACTCAGAGGCAGAGTGTTCCGGCGATGGGGACTCTGATGGGTCAAGTTGTTCCACATCTAGTTCTTCGAATGGCCCACAGAAAGGTTCATGGTTTATCCAAGGACACTTGTTCAAGCATAGTTGGTGCTTCAATAGCTTTATTTGCCCAAATATGTTTCACCAATAAGATTGACCACCCATGTCCGCCTCTTCCCAACTGGCACGACTTGCTCAGGAATCAAAGTATGCCGTGAGGCATTCATCCAGATCCTTGGCATTGGCAGGGATCGTTTGATTCGCTGCAGAAAGAGCTTCAGGGGTTTAGACCAGCGGACAATACGAACTTTGGAGAACTTTGGAGTGCAAACTTTTCTGTTTTTTTCATGATGTCTAAGGGTACTAAACCGTTGTGGGTCTTTTGGGGATGTTCCGTGCAAACCCGCAACTTGGACCTCAGGAGTTCATTGCAATTCATCAAGAGCCGCTTCTTCTGTGCTGGCCTTTCTGCAAAAGACTTACTTCAGCATTGCAGAGACTTTGCCCCATGAGCCACTTAATATGAAATTTGGACAAGTTGATTTGAACTCCATTTTGCCCCTGGGGTGTTTGGGTGGTTTTGGTTTTAGACCTCCTAGCTTCCCATATAAGGATGCATTTCAACCCGAAAGAGCGATGGGCTTCTACGGAACAGGGCCGCAAAAAGCTGGTTGGTGCTTTGATGGAGTACTCATTGCAACCAACTACAGGGATTGGCAACCATGAACCATCCACTTTGCCAAGAAGATATTTGCCTCCTGGGAACTACTCAGACCTTTTCCGTTTGTACCAGGCAGAATGCCTTGCGCAGGAAAGGCCAGCTGCAAGCGCTACAACGTTCTTTCGGGTATTGAAATCATCTGGCTGGAAGTCCAAAATCAAGTTCAGGGGGCAATCAACTCATGCCCAGTGCAAAATCTGCCACAAGCTGAAAAGCGCTGTTCGGAAAGCGAAGGACATCAGTAGCCATGCAAAGGCAGCAGATTGCTACATGCGCCATCTTGGTGGTATTTTTGCTGATCGGCAAGTGTATGCCCAATTGAAGATCAGAGCCAAGGTGCAACGGGATATCCTCTGTTGCATCGTGGACAGCATGGACAAATCAAAGTTCCGCCTCCCACGTTTTGCACAAGGGAGGGTTCCAAAACCCTTGGAGAACAAGAAGAGGCCGGAACTGGAGTTTACAACATGCATCATGCATGGACATTCAGTCAATGTTTTCCTGGCTGATGCTGAGCAAAGCTGTGGTAGTGATTGGTCTCTTGAAGTCCTATCCCGAAGTTTGGACAACACATTTGCAAGACTTCAGCGTGCCAATGGCTCTTGGCCCAACCACTTGAAGGTCTTCACAGACAACACACCAAAAGATTCTTGATCGGCTGTAGTTCATCTTTCGAATCTTTCCTCTTATTATCTGTTTTGGTTTTGCCCCAATTGGTGAGCTCAGGAATACCGCAATAGTTACATGGGGCGATACTGTTGCTCCCTCGTGGCATCCCGCCAATTTGCCACTGTATCTCATGAATCACTCTGCGTTGGACACACGCACGAAGATGTCGGTGCCTAGGCTGAGCTATGCTTTTGGACATTTTACCACCCATCCATCATCCCACCCTGACCGCCTGAACTTAGATGCTTTCTTCGGAATGGTCAGCAAACTCATCCGCCAAGCAGATGAAGACATGTGTCCCAGCTGAAAAAACAGAACGTCCTTAGTTAGCCGACCAAATCAAAAGGTTGCACTGAAGACAGCCAAGTAAGGCAAACTCCAATGGATATTCTCCAGCTCTTTTGACTGTATCAGCACATGTTGATATATGTTTTGTGTGTCATTTTAAACATCAACCTAGTTGTCTTTCTTCATTTGACTTTCTCACAGCCCAGGTGGCTGAAGGACCGGCTCCAAAACACCTTTCAAAAGTCTGGCTTGGACTTCAACGTTGCATACATCACCAATGTCAGGAACTGGTGCGATTCAATGGCCGCTTTCTCTACGCTTGCTGGAGCCTACAAAAAGAGGAAAGATGACACCAAAGAGATCCCTCACAGCTTTACTTTTGCTCGGCGTGACAGTGCCATGGTTGATTCAAGTTGTCTTGTTTGTTTTTGACAGCTTGAGTTAGTCCTCAAACAAAAAAGCAAACTAGGTATGCCCCAACACTTGGTGGACCAGGCTGCGAATCATCTTCCACCCCGTTTTGGTGGGACTTCCCCAAATGATGTTTTCCTCATGGTGAAGGGCTTCGTCAGTGACATTGAACTTTGTCAAGACATTTTGGTGGTATGGCCTGGGCTTGAAGCTGATACCACTGCAGATGCCCTTCGCAGAATCGCATCAAACCAAGTACCAGGAGAACCAGTCAGAAACCAGCCAGTGAGATCCTTTTTGTATATGTTTTTCCTAGCCTGAATCCCCTTGGCTGCAACTCCCCTTGACCCCTGTTCAGGAGTTGCAGCATATTTGGATGATGATCGAAAGGAGGTTCTCTTGGAAGTGGCATCCTACTTGGAGGACAACTACAGCCACTATGGAAGAGGAATTTTGTACTTGCGGCAACTGGCTGGTCAGTATGCATTGCCTCGATCTCCAGCGCCACGTATTGAGTTCTTGCTGACACGCCATGCTGGAATACAACGTGGTGCTGTCATTCTTCCCAATGCCGAGGTTCACACCCTGCACAATATGAGGGTCAGGTTTCATCGTTACCATTGATAGATCAGCGGGGTGGAAAACACCTGTGGGTTTGGGCACCAACTTTTTCAACTTTGGTTTAATGAATCTTGACTCAACCTCTTAAAGCCTACAGCATTCCACCCTCAAGCTCAGCAGCCCTAACTTGGCTGCCATGGCTCTGGCAGTGAAGGTGCCAGTGGATCAGGCAGCGGTGGCATCAGTGAAGGAACACACACCTGCTCTCAAGGCAAAAGAGGTGAAAGTAGCTTGGCCCCGCAAAGCTTAGTTTGATGTCAATTGTTATGTTAATTTTCTACTGATGGTCCTAGATGTTTGAGGGTTCCTAGCTTCAAAACAGGGAACCTGGACAGGCAGGGGACTCAGACTTCAGCATCAAGAAAGCGTTGCTCTCTGCAATGGAGGAGGCAAGGTGAAGTCGGAAAATAATAAGAACTTACTGTGTTCCAAGAACATTCATTTGTTCCAAGCGTCCCTGCACAAAAAACCCCTGCAGATCACTGCGAAACAAAACATGGGCCAGTGGTTGTGGGACAAGTATGGTACAAGCGAAGGCAAAATCAAGTTTGAAAGTGTACCTTATCTGAATCTCTGACCTGACTATTTTCCTTTATACTACTTTCCACTCCAAATTTAATTTCCAACTAGTTTATCCCTCTCCAAGTCTTTCACGCCAAGGACATAATGTCTATCTTCACGATGGACCCTGTGCAGAAGCATGTGGTGAATGAGACAACTCTGGTCCATCTCCGTGGCAGCAGTGTCAAAGGTGCTTTTCTGGATATATCCAGGTTCTCCTTTGCCGAGAACGCGAAGTTTGGAGAACTGGGGAGGTGGCCAGCAACTCACCAGTTCAGGGCACACTTCCCATCGTTTATTGAGAATGGGTTTGAAGGCCACAGGGAGCCCTTGGACATCAAGTTCGACACTTCTTGCCTGGATCATACCAGGGCCAGCTACACCATCAAACCCTTCAGTGTTGGGTACGTTGATGGCCAGAATAAGGCCCTCATCATGCTGTCAGTGCTGGCATTGCTGGTGGAACTTGCAACTCAGTGACTTTAGTAATTGTTTCTTTCAGTCTTCAGATTCACTTACCCAATGTTGGGTTACTCTCAATGTCAATGTTCAATCATTCATCCATTGTTACCCTGTCAGCTTCAGGAAGTGACCGCAGAGATGATGGAAGAAGATCCGGCCATGGCAAAGGCAGTGGCATCCATGTTCTACATCAAGTGCAATTTCAAGAAGCATGCTACTTCTGATGGCTTCCTTTTTGAGACTTTGAGTAGGGGCCCTTAGTTGCCTTAAGTTTTTCTTATTTTTTAAGCTAAGTTCTACCTAAGTTTGATCCTTCGTTCGCCCCTGCGGCCCAATCAGTCGGAATTTGCCTCAGGCGTGGCAAACAGGACCGCGGAGAAGGTCAAACCAAGTGCCTTAGATTTGCTGCTGCTCTTCAGGGAAAGTGTCAGAATAAAGCAAACCTCTGACAGTGCCAAGAAGACATCGCTGAGAGACCTCCTTTTTGCATCAGTGGCTGACTACAACAAATCAGTTGGGAACCACCGGGCCACTTGGTGGAAACATCCGTGAAGCAATATGTTATTTTATAGTTTGGAGTTTGGAATATTTTGGAATTAAACATAATGGCTTTATGTGTTTTGTTTTCAACATCATTCACTTCACACAGGCATGGCGCGTCTCTGACCCCACACGCCGCCTGATCTACAACCTTCTACGAAGCCCTGTGGGTCTTTGGGATGCTTTGAAGATTTGCTACAACGAGAGTAAGCCGCAAGATGCAGGCTCGATTTGTTTGGCTGAAAGGCTGAAAGAAATGATCCTGGTTTGAACCAAATGGTTTAATCACCCTTATCACAAAGCCCTGACAGCCCTGACCATGGACAACTTGGATGACGACTACTTTGTGGTGGGCAACGAGTTGGTGGAAAGCCCTGATCTCTGGAAGGAGATTCAGGCAGGTGGCAAAAATATGCAAAATGATCAAAAGGAATTGGCTTGTTTAAGTTGTTGGTATTTCACCCCAACTAATCTATAATAATAGTAGTTGGTGATAGTTGGTGATATAATACACATCCCCCTTAAAGTCAAAAACGTTAACCCTCTGCGCACTCCAGACAGTGACGGCTGACGCTGTGGAGCTTTGGTGCGACCGGGCTTTAAGCGACTTTGACCGCAAGGTTGGGAAGAATGCCCCTTCCAAGCAGAAGGCCAGCCTTTGTCAAAACAACTTCACTTTCAGAATCAGAACTTAGAACCACTGTTTAATCACCTTTGAATTTGATGTGTCTCCAATCAATCCCAAACCCAACCCTGCCAGAAATTGGCCCAGCGAGATCAGACAGCGCTGCAAGAGCTCTTGCAGGTTTGCTGTCTCATGACCTATGTCTGGCCCAAAATCCAGAACTTCTTGGGCAACGGCGAGTTGCTGGATGGCATCATGAACCAGTGGAAGCTTGGGAACCTTGGATGTGAAATTTTGGAGACGGTGTCAAAAACCATCAAAACCATGTAAATTTGGTCTTAAAATTCCAGAGCTGAGACATGATGTGGTTTGAAAATTCCACGCCACAAAACCAAGGTTTTTGGTATATATGGACATTTGTTGGGGGGGTGAGTTTGAAAGGTGTGGAATCTCTTTCCCCTTCAAAAACCAAGGATTTGTGATGTGGAAATTTGATCCCGCGTCACAATTTGATATTAGAATCCAACTTGGGAATGTGATTCATTTTACTCAGGTTTGCTATAGAATCATTGAGAGTCCCAAAATCACAGATTTGTGATGTGATTTTCCAGGACCGCGTCACCCTAGCAGGGTTTGCAAACCAAACCGCATCACACGAGCTGGGAACCACGTCACCACATCCTGGGTCCCTATTGGTCAGTTGTGGCAGCTGAAACCTAGACTCTAGACTAAAGACTTACCTAGACTAAAGACTGTAGCCAAGCAAAGCTGAGCCCAAACCACATCACTCCAGCAGGGTTTGCAAA